CGTTTCCTGAGGCTTCCACATAAGCCTAGCAGATGCCAGCATCATGCTTCCTATACAGCCTCTGGAACTGTGAGTCAATTAAACCTCTTTACTTTATTAATTACCCAGTCTCAGGCATTTCTTTAAGCAATGTGAGAACACACTAACACAACTGTAGAAAAGAAATCAAATCAATAAAACCAAGAATGTAAAGAAGGCAAGAGATCAAGATCTCAACTTATTAATGGGAAGAATGAGGACAAAAAGAGTCAGCTATAGATGGTTTCAGAATTTCCAAACCTGCAGGAGAGGAAAAAAAAACGTTATTACGACTAGGTTAAATTGTCCTATTAAGATATAAACCCAATTTTGTACAAGGTAACCTTGTGATAGGACTGTTACATATTTTGACTCTGGTGGTATTCACAGCAATCTATATAAAATTACTTATGACTAAACAGGCACAGGAATGGGTGCGTGTAAAACTGGTGAAGTCTGAATAAGGCCTATAGATTGTATCAATGTCAATTTCCTGAGTATAATATTGTACTATAATTCTGCAAGGTTTTACCATAGATGGAAACTGGGTGAATGTACACAGGATCTAGATCTCCCTGCATTACTTCTTACAACTGTATATGAATCTACAATGATCTTTTTAAAAATGTAAAACAAAACAAAAAAAAGGACAAACTTCCAGGCCAGGCACAGTGGCTCATACGTGTAACCCCAGCACTTTGGGAGGCCAAGGCAGGTTTTTGAGCTCAGGAGTTTGAGACTGGCCTGGGCAACATGGTGAAGCCTCATCACTACAAAAAACACAAAAATTAGCCAGGGATGGTGGCGTGCACCTGCAGTCCCAGCTGCTTGGGAGGCTGAGGCAGGAGGATCACTTGAGTCCAAGAGATAGAGGTTGCAATGAGCCAAAATTACACCACTGCAGTCCAGCTTGGGTGACAGATAGACTTCCAAACAAATTGGGAAGGGGGAAGATTTCAGGGAGAAATAAAAGTCCAGCTCAGTTATATGAATGTTTAGATGTTTATGAAAGGCAAGTAAAGCAAAATGGTGTAAAATGACACAAAACTGATAGACAGGCAAGAGTCCTATAAGGCAATGTAGACTCCCAGGCAAAAAGTCATTAAACAGGGCAAAAAAGATACTTTAAATTTTTTAAGATAAAATCCACTAAGAACAATTACACATATTATCTTTAAGGCTGAATTTAACCAAAATCATAATCACAGTAAATATCTAGTATACCTTGCTTACTGATTTGTCAGCTTTGAGAAAACAACAAATTGAGGATATAGTATCTTAAATAAATGTGTCAAATCAAATAACAGGGAAAGGACAGTTTATCAAGATAAATGTTTTAGAAAAATGTCCAGAAATCTGGAAAAATAAATATATAATAGTAGGCCATAGCAACCATTTTTAAAATCCAAATCTATGCTAATAGAATGTATACAAAGAGTATTTTAATAATCTTGGGATAGAAACCCAAAGGGCATAAAGGAAAACAACAGCAGAACTGGCAACATAAATAGTAAAGATTGTTATACAGCAAAAGCCCCAAGAAACATTAAAGAATAGACAATGAGAAAATACTAGCAAATGGGGAACCAAATCATTAATAGCCACAATATGTAAAGAGCTATTACAAATCAATTAGAAAAGAGGAACATTTCAACAGAAACCTAAGCAAAGGATATGATCATGTAAGTAACAAAAGAATACAAATGACCAACAAACATGCAGTCAATTCCATCAATAAGCAAAGAAATGCAATACTAAAACAATAACAAAATAGCATTTTTCATCCACGAAATGACTAAATATAAAAAATAATCATTTCATCTTAGCAGGTCTCTCAAGTTTCTGCATGTCATGTAAGAGGCACTGATGGTCTTATTTTTTATCTTTTCAATGGTGTTTATACAGCAGATAAAGACATGTCTCCCTCTGGTATGGAGGGCAGGTTTTTACCATTCAGGACAATAAAGATAATGTCTCCCTCTCTGGCGAAGATCAGACAGGTTTATTTGCAGGCCACTATGAAAGACTCAGGTTTCCTAAACTAAGGATTCCTCTCCTGTAACACAACCTACTTCACATGCTAGTGTCACTGGGCTCCTGTCACATCAACCTGTGGAAATCAGGGCTCCAGCAAATCAGCATGAGATGATCCTCTGGCTATCAATACTGTGGTGCTTTGACTCTGAGTCAGGAGTCTCATATTTTCTGCCAGTTTCCATGAAACTGTTAGCTTGCAAATAGGGTATGATCTCAGACCCTTGACAATTCTTGGCAATGTGATATGGCAAAAGCAGCATTTTAACAAATTGTATAAATTTACTCTTACCAACAACTTTTGAGGAGCACTTTGATAGAATCTCTCATAATTTAACACTTAGGTGGCCTAGCAATTTCATATCTAAGAAAATAAATGAACATGCAAATATGACAGTATACAGAATATAAACACAAAAATGATCCCTACAGTTCTGTTTGTAATAAATTTGGAATAACCTAAATGCCAGCAGGGGATTGGCTAAATAACTTTTGGGTTATTCCTACAATGAAATACCAAAAAGACTTACAAAAAAGACAAGACACTATTATATGCACTGCCACAGAAGGATGTTCATCAATTATTATTAAGTGGAAGCTACAGAAAATTATACATGGTACAATGCCATGTATGAAACAAAAGTAGACTTACACATTTATTTTTAAAATCTGCAAGCAGTGGTAATCTCTATGGAACAAGGTTACTGGGTAGGTGGGCACACAGCACTTTCACTTCCTCCTTTGAGTATTTCTGTATCGCTTGATCTTTTTTCAAGAATGCCTATATTTATTTCATGATCTAATAAGGTGTCCATTACAACAACATCTTAAAATGTATATTTGGGATATCCAACTGGGATGGTAAAATACAAATGGATATTTGGATGTCCGAAGGGAACACTTCTACAGCCATTTATCTCTTAGATAACCATTTTCTTTTAGAAACCAGGTACAGAACATCCTAAATCATAGGTGATGGGGAGAGACACACTACAGTTATATGATACAGTACAAAGTCAAAAGGCATGCAGATATTTAATCAGGCTGCTTCTCTATGTAACTGTAGGAGCAACTCTAGTATTAAGTTCTGAGTGAGCAACACAAGGGATTTATTTATTAACAGTTCATGATTCAACTGACCATAGAAAAAGCAAGCTAAAATAAATGAATCTCAGTAACTGGCAAGAAACTTTTAAAGAGGGGAGGGAGGCAAGAGGTAAAGAAAGGGAATCAACTTGCCTCCACTAAATGTGTTCATTTCAAAAATATTTAGTGATGTCTACAATATGTCAGGCATCGTTCAAATCCCTAGGCATTAAAACACATTATAAACCTAGAGCAATAAGAACATCACAGAAGCCAGGATCACCACAGGAAGCCAAAGAGCACTGCACAACAGTTCAGAAAGCCCCAAGAATATACGGGAATTTAGGATCTACGGTATTTATAGTACTTATCAGTAGCAAAAAATAGAATTCAACAAATGACAATGGAGTCACTAACAAAATACAAAGTTGGAGCCTTCCTATTTCACACTAAAATATTAATAAGATAATTAACAATACTAGAAAAAATGAGGTGGATATACAATTCATGTGGATAAAGGCCTTTTTAAAAGGACACTGAAGTTAGATCTGCAAACTTAAGATAGAGAACGTTAACCACAGCAAAATTAAGAGGATGAGACTAGTACAGTAAAGAAAGAAGGGGCAGTTTTTGTTAACTGACCATATGTACCATTGTACAGAGTACTATAATTGCATTATTTCATCATGGTGTGAGTAAAGAAATTATCCATGTTACAATGAACTGATTTCTCTGATTTTCAAGTCAGTAACAGAAGGGAAGAGTTTGAAAATACAGAGTTCAGAAAAGTCAACGTTTGGGACAGACGTTAAAAAAAAAGTTAGTACTCAGAACAGAAGTATAGAAAGAAGAATCCAATTGAAGGAACTTTTAGAGAGCCTACTACATCATGATCCACATTTCCCCCAAGTACTTAATCTGATTAAAGATTATAGGAGCGTTGATGACTCTGGATGAATCTCTACTCAACCAATAGGTACAGTATGAGGTACAGGATAATGGAGGCAGGAAGTTAGCCTGAAAGAAAAAAAATGTATACCTATACCCGAACTTAACCAAGGGGTACACGCAAGAAGCAGAAAAGGCAACTTGTCTGCGAACAGACCAAAGCAAGCAAAGATCCTGCACCTAGTGGTAGTGAGCCCTCCGGGGCACAAAGCCAGATGGGCATCCTGCCAACACAACTACCTGACCACAGGCTTATACCATCCTCATCTTCTATAACAGTTATTTGTATACTGTATTTCAATCTGTGAATGCATCTCGAAGCTTTGTGGCAACAATCACTAGGAAACCAAGGAAATCCAACCACCCGTTATAAATATGTTGACCTCACACTGAAGGGGCACCCCAAACCTAAACACAGAAACAAGGTTGTAGCTGGGCACCTTGTGGCAGTCCTGAAGAAAGAAAACATAGGCCTGGTTAGGCAAAAACCATCGGATGTCAGAAGGAAATCAAGGCAGCAGGTACAGGAATCACAAGCACAGGCGGGCATGTGGCCGACGCGTGGCTGCCGAGGCAGCACGGAGGGCGGGTGTGGGCGACCCGCAGTCCTCCGCGGTGTAAACAACCCTGAGCCAAGCACACTTCCGGACGATGCCCACAGCCTGCGAGCAGAGTGTGGCGGAGAAACAGCCAGAGGCACGTCAGCAGTTCTCAGGGGCCCTAGCAAGCCCCGCAAGCGCGAAGCGGGGACGCGGGGGCGCTGGGGCGCGGACTGGGAGGGGAGGGCAGCGGGGGCCTGTGCCAGGCGTCCAGATTCCCCAAAGCGCAGAGTTGCGCGCCGGCTCGGCCCTGGCCCCGCCCCGAAGGAAAAAGACAGAGACCCATGGGAGGGAGAAGTAAAGGAAGGGCCGTACCCTGCAGGGTCCGGGAGAGGCGCGCGCCGCGGGCTTCACCCGCGACCAGGCGGCGCGAAAAGGCCTGGACGTGGGGGCGGCTCCCCGACTCTCTGGCTGCGGCACAGCGGCTGCAAGCCCGCCCGGCGCGACCCGGAAGGAAGACGCGGAAGGGGCCGGGGAGGCGGGGCAGGGCCGGGGAGGCGGGGCGCGGCCGAGGTGGCGGGGCGGGGCCGGGGAGGCGGAGCGGGGCCGGGGAGGCGGGGCGGGGCCGAGGTGGGGCGGGGCCTGGTGGGAAGTGGAGTGCAGCCGGGAAGGAAGCCTGGCGTTCCTCCCGTGGGAGGTGCTCTGGGCCATAGGGACAGCCCCCTCCCAGGCCAGGGGCGGGAGCTTCCTGCTGGCTTCCCCATTCCATTAGTGGCCGTGTAAAGAGGTAACCGCAGCGAGCAGTGGCTGCAAATCCTCTGCGGAATAATCCCCTCCAAATACCGGCTCGCCTTCTGTAGTATAGTCCTGCTAGGACTTCCTCGGTCCAGACTTGGTGAAATCAGGTGATGCATAGGTAATAGGAATGGTACGCATACTTAGAGGAAGAGTATAATATACATTATATGCGCTCTGAAGGTGTTATTCCTCTAGTTTACAAACTTCTGCCCTGCATACAAATCCTGCCTACAGACCCATTTCCAACGTTCAGAAGCGTCTGACCATTACCTCTGATGAAGAAGATGGTCTGGCAGTCTCTCACTCATTTTGATTTATTTTTGGTAGATTCCGTAAGGCACTTTTTTTAGTTTGCATCATATTTATCTTCTTACAAAATATCCACTAAGATGGAAAATATTATTTGCTGTCTGTTCCTAATGAGGCAAAACAGTAAAGATATTTACTTATATATGAACAGAATCAATATACAATATGCAATATATCTTGTATACAAAAAGAAAAATTTTTATTTTCTTCAACTTTAAAATTTTATTTTTATTCATGCATAATAGCTGTACATATTTTCATGGTACACATGATAATTTGATTCATTTCTGTAACCAAACCCACATAACTGGATTACTTGTCCCCTTAAATATTTATCTTTTCTTTGTGCTAGGAATATTCAAATTATTCTCTTCTAGCTATTTTGACACATACTATTGATTAACGTTAACCATAATCACCCTACTGATCTATGGAACACCAGGTCTTATTTCTTCTAAGTTTCTCTTTGTGCCCATTAATCAACCTCTCTTTATCTCCCCTCATTCTCCCATGCCCCCTCCCAAATACTTCTCAGTCTCTGAGATCCACTTTCTGAGCTCCCACATATGAGCGAGAACATGCATTATTTGTCTTTCTGTGCTTGGCTCATTTCACTCTTCATAATGACCTCCAGTTCTATCCATGTTGCTGCAAGTAACAGGATTTTGTGGAGAGTTTTATGGCTGAGTAGTTTTCCATTGTGTACATGTACCACATTTTCTTTATCCATTCATCTGTTGCATAGATACTTAGGTCAATTCTAAATCTTGACTATTGCAAATAGTGCTGCAATAAACATAGAAGTGCAGATATTTTTTCAATATATGTATTTCCTTTCTGTTGGATCTATATCCAGTAGTGGAATTGTGGGATCTCATAGTAGTTCTATTTTTAGCTTTTTGAAGAATCTTCACACAGTTTTTCACAGTGGCTCTAGTAATATGCATTCCCACCAACAGTGTACATGGATTCCCCTTTCTCCACATTCTCACCAGCATCTCTTGTTCCCTGTTTTTTTGGGGGGAAAAAAAAAAAACTCACTGGAGTGAGATATCTCATTGTTTTAATTTACATTTAACTGATGATTAGTGATACAGAGCATTTTTTCATATACCTGTTGGCCATTTGTATGTCTTCTTTTGAGAAATGCCTGTTCAGATCTTTTGCCCATTTTTTAATTGGATTATTTTTGTTTTTGCTTTCCTATTGAGTTGTTTGAGCTCCTTATATATTCTCATTATTAATCCCTTGTTAAATAAATAATTTGCAAATATTTTCTCCCATTCTTTGGGTTGTCTCTTCACTTTATTGGTGCTTTCCTTTGCTATGCAGAAGTTTTTTAGCTTGATGTAATCCCATTTGTCTATTTTCACTTTTGTTGCCTATGTGTTTGATATCTTAACCAAAAAGATAAGATCTTGCCCAGACTTATGCCATGAAATCTTTTCCCTATGCTTTCCTCTAGAGGCTTTCATAGTTTGGGGTCTTAAATTTAAGACTTTAATCCAATTTGAGTTGACTTTTCTATATGGTGAAAAATAAGGTTCTACTTTCATTTTTCTGCATATGGACATACAGTTTTTCCCGACACTACTTACTTATTGACAGACTGTCCTTTCTCCATTCTGTGTTCTTGGAACCTTTTATAAAAAGGCAATTGTCCATAGCTGTGTGGGTTTATTTCTGGCCTCTATATTCTATTCCATTGGTTAATGTGTATGTTTTTATGCCGGTACCATGGTGTTTCAATTAGTATAGCTTTGTAGTATATTTTGAAGTGAGGTGTTGTGATGACTTCAGCTTTGTTCCTTTTGCTGAACATTGTTTTGTCTATCCAGAATTTTTTGTGGTTCTATAGCAATTTTAGGATTTTTTTTCTATTTCTGTGAAGAACATAATATATTGTTAGGGATTACATTGACTATGTAGATTGCTTTGGGTAGGTATGGACATTTTAACTATTCCTCCAATCCATAAACACAGAATATCTTTCCATTTTTTGTGTCTTCTTTAATTTCTTTCATCAAGGTTTTATAGTTTGAGTATACTCACCTTTCACCTCCTTGGTTAAATTTATTTCTAAGTATTTATTTTAGGGTTTTTCTTTTGTAGCTATTGTAAATGGAATTGTTTTCTTAATGTCTTTTTCAAATAGTTTGCTTTTGTAAATAGAAATGCTACTGATTTTTGTATGTTGATTTTATATCCTGAAAACTTACTAAATTATTAGTTATAACAGTTTTTTAGTAGAGTCTTTGGAGTTTTCTTTTTCTTTCTTTTTCTTTTTTTTTTTTTTTTTTTTTTTTGAGATGGAGTTTCGCTTTTGTTACCCAGGCTGGAGTGCAATGGTGCAATCTCAGCTCACCGCATCCTCCGCCTCCTGGGTTCAGACAATTCTCCTGCCTCAGCCTCCTGAGTAGCTGGGATTACAGCCACGTGCCACCATGCCCAGCTCATTTTTTGTATTTTTAATAGAGACGGGGTTTCACCATGTTGACCAGGATGGTCTCAGTCTCTTGACCTCATGATCCACCCGCCTCGGCCTCCCAAAGTGCTGGGATTACAGGCTTGAGCCACCGCACCCGGCCTCTTTGAGGTTTTTCTGTACATAAGATTATGTCATCTGCAAACTTCTCTACAATTTGGATGCCTTATTTTTTTTTTCTTATCTAACCACTCTGGCTAGGACTGCCAGTACTATGTTGAATAGAAGTGAGAAAGTGGGCATTCTTGTCTTGTTCCAGCTCTTAGAAGAAAAGTATTCAACTTTTGTCTATTCAGTATATTAACTGTTGTGGGTTTGTCATATATGGCCTTTATTGTATTAAAGTAAATTCCTTTTATACCTAATTCATCGAGCTTTTATCAGAGAAAAATATTGAATTTTGTCAAATGTTTTTCTGCATCTATTGAAATGATCGAAATGCTTTTTGTCCTTCATTCTGTTAAAGTGATGTATCATATTTATTAATTTGCCTTATGTTGAATCATTCTTGCATCTCTGCTGTGAATCCTACTTGACCATGGTTAGTGATCTCTTTTGTTGAAGATTTTTGCGTTTATTTTCATCAGGGATATTGGCCTATAAGTTTTCTTTTTTTGTTGTGTCCTTGCCTGATTTTGCTATTAGGGAAATGCTGGCCTCATAGAATGACCTTGGAAGTGCTTCCTGCCTTCAATTTTTTGGAAGAGTTTAAGAAGAATTAGAATTTGTTATTTAAATGTTTGGTAGAAGTAAAGGCATATGTCCTGGGCTTTGCTTTAATAGGAGACCTTTCATTACTAATTCAATCTTGTCACATATAACATTGATGTGTTCACATTTTCTGTAGCTTCATGATTCAGTATTGGTAGTTTGTATGTGTCCAGAAGTTTCTTTATTTCATCTGGGTTACCAAATTTGTTGGCATATCATTGTTCCTAATGGTTTCTTATGATCTTTATATTTCTCTAGTATCAGTTGTAACGTCTCCTTTTTTAAAATCTCTGATTTTATTTATTTGAGTCATTTCTTTTTTTCTTAGTTTAGCTAAAGGTTTGTTGATTTTGCTTATCTTTTCAAAAAATCTAATATGATATTTTGAATGGGATCCTGGAACAGAAAAAGGACATTAGTAGAAAAACTAGTGAAATTCGAATGATGAGTAGAATTTATTTAATAATAATATACCAATGCTGTTTTCTTAGTTGTAATAAATGTCCTATTCTAACAAGCTCTTAACAATAAGGGGAAACTAAATTAGGGATATATGGGAACTCTGTATTGTCATTGCAACCCTTCAATAATTTTGTATTTTTGTATTTTTAGTCAATCTATTAATTACAACTTTTCTGTAAATCTATTATAAAATTAAAACTAGATTAAAAATAAATTAATATAATACATAAATAAGGCTGATTTGTTTATGGTTGCTGGTGAGACTTCATTGAGTTGATAAGCATCAACTCAATGCTCAAATTCAGTCTAATAGCAGTTTCTTAATCCTAGATAACTTCCAAATAAGTTTTTTTGTTGTTGTTTGTTTGTTTGTTTGTTTTTAAGACGGAGTTTCGCTCTTGTTACCCAGGCTGGAGTGCAATGGCACGATCTCGGCTCACCGCAACCTCTGCCTCCTGGGTTCAGGCAATTCTCCTGCCTCAGCCTCCTGAGTGGCTGGGATTACAGGCACATGCTACCATGCCCAGATAATTTTTTTTATTTTTGGTAGAGACGGGGTTTCACCATGTTGACCAGGATGGTCTGGATCTCTTGACCTCGTGATCCACCCACCTCGGCCTCCCAAAGTGCTGGGATTACAGGCTTGAGCCACCGCGCCCGGCCCATAAGTTTTTAAGTATAAAATGTATTCAGAAAAGAACACAAAAGATGAGTGCACATACCCTTGTATTCACCATTCATATAAAAAAGTAGATAATCACCAGTACTCAGAAACCTCTCACATTCTCT